TTTTTTTTTTTTTTGCTTCAATATGGAGATGGAAAGTGATTTTCCCGCGATTTTTTACCCCAAATTGATTTTCTATTTTTTTTTTTATTTTGTTTAATGAAATATCCACATGTCTTCACATGTGGATTTTATATTTTTTTTGGTTTTTTTAATATTTCTTTTGCAATGTGTCAAAATGGGTGGGCCCAGCTAGTTACACATCAGGAGCTGACAAGGAATTTCGAGATTACTAAGCGCCACATCAGCTACTTTGGGCGCCACATCAGCAAAATGGTCACCGAAATGTGATTTTGGACCAAAATTGCTAAAATAAAAGAGTTAGTGTACCATTCATAAATCGGAAACAATTAAAGGACAAAAGTGCAACTAGGGAAAAGTTAGTGGATTAATGGTGCAATTTTTCCAAAAATAAAATATAATTTACCAAAAAATATTTTTAAAAAATATTTTTAAATTATTTTTAAGATTATTGAAATCTAAATGAGATTTTGTACCATATGTTTGTAACGGTTCATGAAAAATGAAATAGTATTTGAATGAAAAAACTCTAAAATTCGACCAAAACTTAAATTTAATATATATATTTATAACTTCCAAAAGTAATTATAATTAATTAGATTAAGTGTAAAAATGCATATAGAAACTATGTCATTGAAAAATTAAAGATAACATAACTTTGCTCACATATATCAATTGAATTATAATTGGTTTAATTAGTCAAAAAAATATAATTACAAAAAATGGTCTTTTTCAACAAGATAAAAAGACAAAATTGTAAACTATCACATGTAATATTCCTTGTAAATGATTTCAAAAATAAAAAAAAATAAATCGAATAAACAAGACTAACTTAGATAATGAAAGTTTATCAACCAAAATTTTCATGCAATCTTCTTTACTATGACTTTTAAATATTATTATTTTGGAAATTTTATTTCAAATTTCAATATATTTGACAGTGTTCATTATGTAATGTACTTCTTGTGTTTGATTAATTAAAAATAATAATGCAAAAAAAAAATAAAAAAAATGAATAAGTAATAAAAGTATAAAAGAAAAAAATATAACTTAAAATCACTTGACGAACACTTATTTTGTCACTAACTAATAATAGTGACAACTGTAGATATGGTGACAAAAAATGGTCACCAAAACATTTAGTGACAGTAACAAGTAACAACTAAATGATAGTCACTATGTAATGATAGTAACAACTAAACATTTAGTCACTATGTAATGATAGTGACAACACTTGTCGATATAGTGATAAAAAAAAATAAAAAATCATCACTAACACTCTATTTTTTTTTTTTGTCTAGTGGTAAAATTTCAAATATAATTTAAATTTGATCTCGACCAATGCTAAATCAGGGTTAAAGAATTGCATGTTTTTGTCTTTTTCCACTTGATTTTTTTTTTTTTTTTTCTTATGTTGATTTTGCTTAATTTATTAGTGTATACATTATATTTACTTTGAATTCACAAATATATTTGTACACATGTTTTATTTTATAATGTTTGATTAATATATTAAAATATATTTTTATTTAATGATGATTTTACTTTTGTTAAACTAAAATTTTGTTATGTTGTCAATCATTAAACGAGAGTTTAACTTTAAATAAATGTTGTGAATAACATATTAAAAATAAATAAATTATCATGATTTAAAAACTGGGAAATATGAATGATATTTTTGAGACATTTTATAGAAAATGACTTTAGTTTGTGCAGATAAATTATAATGAAAACTAAATAACTAACACAAAATAGTATAGGATGTATAAAACATAGTTTTTCAATCCGGACTGACACGATGGGTCGACCCGGGACCCAGTTGATCCAGAGGTAGAACCTGTCTGGCCTGGTGGGCTATTTGAATCGGGTAATAATGGACTCGGTCAACCAAATTTGACCCGATCGACTTGGGACATCTTTCGGCCGGATCAACCCGGCTGACTCGACCCTTATAATTTATTTTATTCTTTTTGTTTTTTATTTTTTTATTTAAAAAATAAAAACTATGTGCATATTTTATATGGTAAATATTTATTATGAAACACAATATTATTAACACTATGATGTACAAATTTTATATATGTAGCATTTAGTTTTGTTAATACTTTTATGTATATTTATACGACAAAATTAAATTATATATAATTTAGAAATTTTAAAATTAATTATCTTGTTCAACAATCAACCCGATGACTTGGAGACCTGACCAGTTCGATTTCAGGATCGGGTTAGTCCTAAATCATGTTCCCCTCACAAGCGAGAACACGTAATTCCAACAACCTAACAACTTAAAAAATTTTCTTATGTTCTCAGTCAATAAGAGAGAGAGAGAGAGAGAGAGAGAGAGAGAGAGAGAGAGAGAGAGAGAGAGAGAGAGAGAGAACAAGTATTAGAATCGGATTCTAACACCTATACTCTTGCGTGAACAACCTAACAACTTTTTTATTATTATTATTATTATTATTATTATTATTATTATTATTATTATTATTATTTTGTTTTTGACAACAACTTAAAACTTGAATGCGTTTGGGATTTGGGCTGTGCATATTTTCATCTCAAATTTAGATAATAAAAAAGAATAGTTATGGGAATAATGGAACTGCCAACAAGTACCAAAGCTAAAGGATTTCGGTGGATTAATTCATCCATGCATCATGACTTGTGTTCATCACTTGAGGTACTTACGTCTATTCTTCTGTCTAATTTGTCTTCTTGACTTTTTCCTTTTATATTTTTTGCTTATATATATACTAGTAATTAACAAGATTCTTATTCACCTCATGAATCAGGGTGCAAGTATGTTGTTCCAAGACTGTTATAACCTTTTGAAGAGCTCAATAAGGTTTGATTCTTCTTCTGAATTGGTTTTCGGGTATGAAGTTGCCTGTGAGAAGAACAAGTTTTGCACTATCAACGTAAAATCCAGAAGGATCCGCACGTTGAGTGGTCTGAGAAGCAAGTATATTTTTAACTACTATGCAGGCAAGGTTGATAATGAAAAAACAATGGAATTTGGTAATACCTGCAACGGGTTAATCCTCATACTTTATTCCAAAAAACACATTCTTTTCGACCCTCTATCAGACAGAACAGCGTTTGCAACGCGCAAACTGCCTGAATGGGGTACCAGCAGGTGTTGTGGCTTCTTCTACCATCCTAAGGCAAGGGAATACCGGCTTCTCCATGTGACGCAGATAGGAAAGCACGGTTACGAGTACCACATTTACGAATTTGGGGCCCACAAGTGGAGGACAATTCTGACTCCCGAAGATTCTCATTATCCCCCACAAAGCTTCGACCCATTGGTGGTGACGAATAAAGCTATGATTTGGCGGCATTTGGATGGCTTTATTGTTTTCGACATAAATACCGAGAAGCTATTCTCAAAAGGTTCTCCCCCACCCGTTGGTGAGCCTAAAATGGTTGTCAAAGGAGGTGAGGACTTGTGTTGTTGCTACGTGCGCTATGCGGAGACTATAGTGGACGTTTGGGTTCTTAGGGACTACAAAAAATGGTTATGGGAAAGAAAGTATGCCGTGAATTTTGATTGGGAAAAGAATAGGTGCCCCTCGCGAGCGTGGAGCGCTCACATCCCTCAAGTAACGAGTAACACAAAAGTTGTGAGCATTCAGGGTAATATTTTGGTGTTGGATATCAAGGGTGCTGGAGCACAACTGCATTGCTATGATTTGGTGTCTAATGCGTCTTGGATAGTCGACACCAACAAATTTAATGGGGAAACCCAAACAACTTGGTATGGTAGGCGACGACGTGTGGACAAGCATTTCACTTGGTATCGTTTGCTTGGATTATAGGCACACACCGTCCGTCATTCAAATTTCTTTTTATATAATTATTAAGACTCTTTATTATTGGTTGATACGGTTTGATTTTCTGTTTTTATTTGATGATGACACGATTTCGCAGTCCCAACATACTAAATTTGTTTGTTGAGTAATGGATTTTACCTGCTTTACATTGATTAATGGAGTTGCTTTATTATGATCAATTTTTTGTTGGACACGCACACAAACACAAACAAACAACATCCTAAAAACAACAAATTAATCAACCCATTTTCATTGCACTTCCCACACTTAACACTCTTCCTCCCATCATCCCCCAACATCTTGCAGCTCCCACTGCACTCATAGCACATCATGAACCGAACCCCGGCACAACCCTTGCAGCCCGTGGTCACGGCTCTCGGTATCCCCCGAAGCAAAACCCCCCATTCTCCCTCCCCTTCAAGCCTCGCCACCTCATCCAACCCGCCAATCAATCTCCCCCTCACGAACACTAGCGGCACCCGAACCTCCTTCGAGCCCACCAGCACCCTAAGCTCCTCCTTAAAGCCCGAGTCCACATATATGTCCCGTTCGAGCACCTTCACGCTGCATTGTGTCCTCGAAAGTCTTTCGTATGCCTCTCAAAGTATTCGTGTCTAGAACCGCGTTCTGGCCACCGCGCAGGCACTTCCACTTGTAGGACTCAAGAAAAGCTTCTGATTTGCGTAAAGCTTTCGACTTTTTCGGGCTTTCATTCTCCAAAATCATTTTCTTGATCTCTTCTTCCTCTTCGGATACCTCCCTTTCGAACTCGGCCAAGAGTTCCGGACCGGACAAGAACCTCAAACTCTTGGATCTTTTAACACTCGGGCGACCTTTTATCGAGGCCCACAGTCTAGGAGACGGCTTCTTCGTGCCCTCAATTAAAAATTAAAGTTTAAATCTTTGACAAATGCCTTCGTACTATTTTTCACTCGAGCCCGCGTTCGACCGGCCTTTATTCTCCTTGCCTGCAATTTTCTTTGCCTTTCTCGGGGACCCCACTTAGCTCAAGAACTTCATCGGGCTTCTGGAATCGATTCCCATTAGGCTGTGGGTGGTTAAAGGCCCCGACTTTAGGCTTTTTCGGCCCAGAATTATTTCGTCCTTGAGGCCCGCCCAAAGCTCCCACGCGTTGATGATCTCTGCTGGAGGATCGCGGAAAGGTGACATTTTGCGGGCCTCGATAGAAATCCGGCTATTCGTTTATCCGAATAGACTAATGTCAAGAAGATTGCCATAAACCTAATATAACATCTGTAGCCGGAATCAACCATTTTTCAAGAGCCTCTGGAGCCGAAACCCACTAGAAATTAAATCAACAAATCGCCATATTTGCTTTAATATATGATTCATTAAATAAGTGGGTGAGGCTAGTAAATTGGTGAATCAAACATTCATACCAATTAAAACAAGAAAATACAGAGCTAGAGAACCAAAATAGGAAAAGCAACAGATACAACCACACCAAACATCGTCTAAACAGAAAGCAGCTAATAAAAACCCAAGAACTAGGCACCCACACTCAGCTCACTACTACTTCACTTCGGCGGCACTGTGAAGTTGATCCAGAAGCCGAGGGTGACGGCCAAGAGAAGCCAAGCTACGACAACCGACCAGAAGAGGTCCCATCCGAATCGAGTGGACCACTTGAGGGTGGACACCAATTTTCCAGCTCTTTCCATGGCATTGATCCTGCTCTCCTCCCCGTTGATGTACGCATTGAGGTTGAAGTCGGGAATCTTGTTGGCAGCCTTGTCCCGAGCTCTTTCGGCAATCTTATGTGCATCGTCGGCTCTTTTTTTAGCAGCGGCGAAATTTCGATCAGCTTCGGCGCCCTTTATCTCGGCCTCGGTGGGGATGGGGTTGGCCTTTCCCTTGTCCACAGTCATATCATCCTCGGGGACCTCCACAGCCATATGATCCTTGGGGACCTCCACAGTTGTATCATCCTTGGTGGTGGTGAGGAGGGCTTTATTAGATTTAGCAGTTTCAAGAAGGCCATCGGCAAACCGAGCGGCTTCGGCCGTGATGACAGCCTCCTCGATAATAGAAGCTTCATCCACAAGCCCGGCAGCAACCCCCGTAACTGGTTCGGTGGGGGTTTTGTCTAGCTTGCCATTTACCAGCTCATTACACCAATTCGCAGCAAGCCGGAGATTGTGAGTCTCCTTGCCCACCGTGTAGGCATCCCATTCCATGTGAGCAACGAGCCTCTTTGTTGTCAGGATTACCGTGAGTAGCATCAGCGTGTACGTGACGGTGATGAGAGCAGTGATCACATAGCCGTGGACCTTATTGTGCAGATAGTACCCAATGAAAAGTCCCGCGGCCAACATTGTAACCGAGACTGAACTGCACTGTACGAAGAAACTTACAAATTCCTGGTATTTACCCAGGAGTATTGTTTGTTTCTCCATCAGCGTCTTCCTTTCAGCTTGAAGGGCATTCAGAGCCGTAGTTAGGTGACTTCCAATCTTTACTGGAAGTGGGGCCCGCGGCTCAGCGCCCTGGACTTGGGGCACAGGTGGAGGTTGGGGCGATTTGCGGCCCTCCTGTTAATAAAATATATATATATATGTAATTAAGTAAAGGTATTGTTCTGTAGAATCTTGTAAATAATAATTATTATTATTAACAGAGGATTTTTCACTTAATTACCTCCGCCGCCCCTTGTGGTGGCTGTTGAGACACAGAGGTCGAAGGAACATCGGTCGGGTCTGGTTGCGCTACCGCCTTCCCCTTCTCAGATGCAGATGGAATGTTGGACATGTGTGCCATAGTGCTCTGCTCTAATTTCTTGTTTTGAACTTTTTTTTTT